CACCCTTCATGCGACTCGCCGAATATCTCACGGCGCTTCGCGCTTGGTGATGTGAGAGCCTGGTCCGGTGAGAACCCGGCGTGCTCCGTCCCGGCTTTGTAGGGATGCGAGGCCAATGGTCTAATGACGACGGCATGCACGACTATGAGTACACCCCCCCCACCGTTCCTCCCCCCCTAGCTGGTAGCCGGGGCGGGCATTGACCCTGCATGTCGCTCCGTCCCGGCATTGTACGCATATGGATGCGAGGTCTACGGTCTACCGAATATTGCATGCGTTTATATTAGTACACCCCCCGCCCTTCTAGCCAGAGAGAAGAACAGAATCTGAGGAAAGAATCCAAGGATAAGGAGGGTCTAGAAGTGTACGGAATGTTGAAGGAAGGAATAGGGTTCAAGGACTACCTACATGGACCAATGGATGCAGGAACAAAGCTTAAGGTCAAATTCAGGACCGGGGACATAGGCCTTCGAGAACGTCGACGAAGACATAGGACGGTAGACGAGGAAGACGACGAGTTCAAATGTGATTGCGGCTTCNCACCTTTTCCTGCCTCCTCTCCTTGAGGACATGTGCATGATACGTCACAAGCGCGAATGATGGGAGTCCCCCCCTGCTTTTACTGTGGTCCGGATTCGACGAGCACGTACCCCCCCCCCCCCCCCCCCCCCCCCCCTTCTAGCCGCTAAGGCATGCGAAACATGCACGCCCACCTCTCCCCCTGTATCTCGGAACTACCCCGTTCGCGAAGGTGGCGATGGCACTCTCGGGCTGTTTTGCGAGACATCGCACGGTTTCGACGAGCGGCGTTGCAGGCTGCGGAGGCAACCGGTGGGGCGGACGGGGGGGGTGAGAAGGGGGCGGCGGCGGTGGAGCGGGTGGCCAAGTGCTATGGCTTCATGTGGACGTTCAGGTTAGGGCAAGGCTTGTTTCGGAGCTTATTTGGTCTCACACGCGTGAATACGGCCGTTTTGAGTCCGCGTTTTTGCTCGTTGCTGGGTTTGTTTTGCAGCTTCTTTGTTGTGTGTCTCGATGCGTGTATTCGGTATTCTATGAAGGCCGCCAGAAGAAGAGGCTCAGACACGGCCTGACAAGGATGTCATGTCGTTCTGTTGCCTCGGTGGTGCCTAAGGACCGGCGTGAACGGTGCTCATCTCAGGCAGAACCTCATGTATTTCGGCGTACGCAGTCTTGCCCAGCAGGGATGTTTTCCCATGGTGCTGGACTAGAGGGGGCGTTTCCCTCTGTTCCTCGACGATCGTGCCGCATGACGCGTTGGCCTTCTGTCTGCCTGAAACGACACGACACGCAAGGGGCGGGGGGCGAAACGAGATGGTCTCCGTCCTGTAGAGGGCAAGCGACCGACGCACCCGTGGTTGCCCTAGCGGCGAACCTCTTTTGGAAAACAAAACCTATTGCCCAGCACACGACTGTCTTGTGTGATGTGCATTGTTCGGATTTCCGATGTGTCGCGATTCGTGGTGTGCCGATGTCTATTGTCTATTGTTGCGGACTTGAGCTTGAAGTTGTCGCCAAGGTGGCCTACTGTTCAAGAGAGAAGGGTTGTCGGGAGGCTCGGACGAGGATTAGGAAAGTTTCTCGCCCCAAAATGGCCGCTTGCTTGCCCACCAGCGTCGCATCCACAAGGCGAGCGAGGCACGCGTGCCTTCAGACGGCGATTCACTTGACCTGTGTTCGAAGAGGTGGTGCCTCATCATCTGTTTCGCCAAACTCATTCGTTTTTTCTTGTCCTCTTCACCCCCCCCCCCCCCCCCCCCCCCCCCCCCCCCCCCCCCCCCCCCCCCCCCCCCCCCCCCCCCCCCCCCCCCCCCCCCCCCCCCCCCCCCCCCCCCCCCCCCCCCCCCGCCGCTGCTGTTGGTGCAGTGTGACGAAGCTGCACAACACGGAGACTAGTCTGTTCTTCCCGTGGCTGAGGGACTTGGTACCAAAGGAGGTGCTACCTCCGCTGAGCGAGTTCGACCGGGAGAGGGCGGGAGTCGTGCGGATAGGGGAAAAGATAGGCCAGGTTTGTTGTGTGGTAACGTGGTACGGAGCTTAACAGTGACCAACTACTGTTCGCTCAGAAGGAGGGGGTAGTGGGGATAAGGAAGACCATCTGCGAGGTTTGCGATGTGGATAGTGCAGAGTCTCCCTGATTGCTCAAAGGGAGGGGAACGCTTCGTACAGGGGAGCACATCGAGCAGGTTTGCTACCATGTGGTATCACGGTCCAGAGAAAAACGTGATGCAATGGATACTCGCACGCTTTGGGGGGTGTTGGCGATGAAGCTGGCGTGTTTTTCATAGTCCAGTCCTTGGCTGCTGTGCCTAGCTTTCGTGTCCATTCTATTATAGTTGAGTGTTCGTGAAAACGTTGTTGTCCGTGCCTGGAGAAAATCTTTTCTCAATGCACCTTTGCCCGTTTCAGCTACAGGACCAGAGGCCCATAGGGGTACACGCAAAGCATGTTTTTCGCCCGCCCCTCGGCCGGACGGAAACCATTCGTGGGGCTTCTGAGTTTAGGGAAGTTGTTGCTCATGGCGAAGTATTCTTGCTTTAGCTCTCTCACCATCGACCGATCGCCGTTGACAACCCCAGCTGTGCAGACTTTCTTTTCAATATGTCGAGAGCTTCTATCCCGAAGTTATGCGCGGGCTTCGGCAACGGGGTAGATTCACACCGGCCTGGGATACCAGCGTCGTTTTTGTCGCTCAGCGAGGGCGGGCGTTGGGATCGTCTGCGCCCCTTGCCGTCCCAGCCTCTACATTTCCCTTCTGACAACAACCCGAAGACCTCCCTGGTGCAACCGCCGTTCTTTCCTGTTTGTCGTCGTCTTTCCGAAACAGTTCGTGGCCGAAGCGGAGCGGGCGTCCGCCTCGAAGTCCTCGTCGCCGAGAGCGGCCTTGCTCCGGTGCGCCGAGCTCGCGGAAGAGCTCGAGGCCAAGGCGGCGAGGCTGGCCAGGGTTCAGGAGGCGGCCATTGTTCCTGTGACGGCGGCGTACACCACCTCCAAGCAGCAGTGGAAGTTCAACGACAAGGTCCTGGAATATGTGATGCTGTAGCGCACTCGTAGATTCGTTGTTTTTGTGTTGATGAAGCTTTTCGGTCTTGTGTGCGTCGATGGAGTTGCCCTTGTGTCGCGATCGTTGCACGGTCCATGTGTGTGAGTGTGCTGTAACTCGTCTTGTTGTTTTATTTGTGGTGGCAATGGAGGGAGGTGGCGGTGAATGTAACCTGTGATGGCTCTATTGGGGTCTGGGTTCGTGGTTTCGATGTGTCGGGCGATTCGGTCCGAGTATCAACAGTCGTCTGCGTCCCTCGCTAGTTCGCTCACCACGCACGGATGCGATGCTCTCCGTGCACGACAACCGTTTTGGTGACCCAAACCGCTCTGTCGGTTCTGACCAAGAAACTTGCAGCTTTTCGCAATCTTTGCGTTTGCGAACCTGGCCAGCTCAAAGTCGCTGCGCAGATCGTGGATCGGTGTCCCTCGTTCTAGGTTTCTCTCGCTTCTTAGGGGCCTGTTTTGTACCTCAAATGAACTCCGTAGCGCTCCCGGCTTGCAAGCCATATACCGAACGAAGCGCGTAGCAACAGTCACACCCGCCCCCCCCCCGGGGCTTGCTCTTGTTTTCGCCGGCCTTGGCTCTACTCTCGGCACCACCTTTCCTTTTCTTTTTCGCGTGCTTTCATGAGGTGTCCAGCTGTGACTCTGCCTCGCGCAACTGCAGGTTCAGCGCGTTAGCCTTTTTTCTCGATGTTCGGAGGAGTTCCAAATTTCTAATTTTCACCCGTCTTGATCTCTTGTGTACCTCCTCCTCGTTGACGCCTTCTATGCCCCCCCCCTCCCCCCATTTCCGTTCGGTTGTGTCGTTTTTGTTTGTCGCGGTGGGGTCGTATAGGTGATCTTTAGCCTCGGATTGGTGGATGCCCAGGTGTTCCTGGTGGCGATGCACGACGCCATCAAGTCCGACCGGGAGGAGTTCAACAAGTTCCGCAAGAATGTAAGCGAGAGGGAGGAACGTGTTTGCAAAGTTTGCAGCATCCTTCTCGGGAGACGTCCCTCGTGAGCCTGCCTTCCTTACACCCGCGTACCGTTTGTCTCTTGTGCGCTTTTGCCCGCGGGATTAGTAAGGGGCAGAATCTGTGCTCGACCGCGTGCGTCGTTTTTTGTTTGCAACGTGTTGTGTCGAAAACCCCTCCGATCATTGTTTTGTTTCCCGCCCGTCCAGGCTGGGTAGGGGTGGCGGGCCCATGTCGGCGTTCCGTGATTATGAGCCCCCCGCCACCGACTTTTTCCTCTTAACTCGACTCTCGCTCTCCGCTCGCAGGTTCCGAAGTTTGCGCGAGCCCTCATCCCGACGTGGCGACGAGTCTTGTACCTCCCTCGAGCGGGCTGCCTGGAAGAATCTGCCGACGTTGTCGTCGCTCCCTAGGGAGGGTTCCACCACTAGGCCCGGGCGGGCATGAGCACGCGTACAACTTTTGTTCGCAGGTGTACCGGGGAGGTGCACGCGTGTTGTGTGGAGAGCTAGCTATGCTTGTGGGAGGCTATTGGCGGTGACCAAGATGCGGAAAAGAGATCTTGTGAAGTTTGGGACATGGGGGACTTTTTTTTTTGCTGCGCGTCTCGGTTGTAGATAGATGGCACGTACCTGCGCGGTGATTCGTCCTTTTCATGTCGCCGTGAAACCTTCGGCAAGGTCGGCGGCCCAGGAGTTTGCCCAAATGGGTGTTTTCCCTCAACGAAGGATCGGTGTACATACGCATGCGTGTGTGGCGTTCATCCTGCTGAGCTTAGAGAGTTCGCCTTCGGAGGGCCGCAAGCAGAGCACTTGGTGCGGCACAGACAGAAAACAGGACGACATTTTGTCGCGTGCCCTGGATTTTTTCGCTGCTCCCGTGAGGTCTGGGTGAGGGTGTGGAACGACCACCTCCGGAAACCCGTTTTTTTTTCCATTCCATGTACACCCTGTGCTCGCTCGATACCATTGTTACGGACGCACAGACACGTCGAATTCTGGACGTCTTTATGCGAGGGTGCGGTGGCAAGCAGTTGACACGTTCCGACCTGACCTAGGTGGGTTGATGGGCTGTCTTGTAGATATGACGCTGACATACATACGAGGCTCGCGGCCTGGGCGCTATGGTTTCCTTGCAAGACCCCTGTGCGTAGCGGCGCGTGGGGTACCGCGAAGCGCGCAAAAACTTGCGTGCGAGAGTCCGCGCTGGACAGCAGACCAAGGCCAGGAGAGGCATGAAATACCGAGCCCTCACCAGCCTCTAGAATTGAATGGCGAAGAGCGTGTGGCTGATAACTTTGGTCATCATTTTTTTTTCCTTGAATGTTTCATTCGACAAACTCAGATTGCATTCCCTTGTCACACTGCCGACCAAGGGCCGGAGCAAAAGAAAATCACCATAACGTTCTGGCAGCACAACAATCGGGTACCTCTGCTACAATCCATGCGCACAAGCAAAAAGCAAGCCAACACCACCTGACCCCTGCGATTTGGTACGAAATACAGCATCAACCGGGCAGGCAGAAGGAGCCCGCAGACGCGCCCCCCGACAATCCTTGAGATCGGGTCAAGAACAGACGCAAGCTGGAACCATAATGCTCCTCTCGCCGCAACCTCCTTCGGCGAGAAGCGAGGGATGCAAAAAAAAAACATATGTGCCCGATTGGCCCGAAATAAAAAACACGCAAACCGGGCTGACAGGAAAATCATTGATCGTGGAAACAACCTAGTTGTACATGGGCTCGAGTTTTTGCCGTTCATGGGAATACACCATCGGGGATAGGCAACAAGGACCTCTCAAGTACGAAGTACATAGTAATCCGTGCCACATCCGTCGAAAGCAAACCCACTAGTGGACCAAAGCCATAGCTGTACAACGGTTCTGATTCCACGGCCTGACGGTAAACCGCATCATCTCAGGCGGGGCAAACGGTCGGATGAACCGACACCTCGCTCAACACCTTCGAGAGCAAGTTTACTGCCAAGAAAAACAACGGCAACAACCCCGCTGCCGCTCTAGGTGCCGGCGGAGAAGTTCTGTCCCCCCTCCCCTCCCCCGGACATGCCGTTTGACCCGTTGGCGGCATTGCTGTCATCTCCCTCTCCCTCTCCCACCGCCTTCTGCTTGTTGCCCCCGCGTCTTGCCCTCCTGATCGTCTGGCGCAACCCTGAGCGATTGTCGGTTTCCTCCTCCTCCTCCTCCTCCTCCTCCTCGCCCCCCCGCGTTCCTTTACGACCCAGTTGCCCC